AGAGAGAGAGAGAGAGAGAGAGAGAGAGAGAGAGAGAGAGAGAGAGAAAGAGAGAAAAAGAAAGCGAGAGTATATAATAGGGGGTGTGTAACGGTGTTTGAGAGAGTATAGTGTAGTGGGTTCACCTGTAGTGCAACATGAACTCAAGGTCACACTTGAGGCTGTCCTCAAAGTGTGAAATCGCTTTGCAACATCCTTTTCGGCCATCAACCAGTAGCTGATTCTTTTTTAAAGAAACGTCTTTCTACACGGATCATACTGACACCTTCCCTTCCAATACCCAATTATCACTTATTGTTCATTCTCAACATTATTTAAACGTGTATTTGGACCGCAAAATTTCAACCAGTAACCTACAACTTCTTTAAGTCAGCCACAGGAACACAAAAGACATACCAGAAACATTTTTAATGTCAGCAGTCAACCTGAACCTGGGGAATACAAATAATGTTGAAGAAACTCAGCAGGACTGGCGGCATCATGGACAGTGAAACAGGTAATGTTAAGTCCAATATGACTCCTCTTTGGAACAGAAAATGTCAATGTGACTAACATCCCTAAACTTGGGAAATGTTAATCACATTGAAAGGTAGTAAATGAACAGGATCCATTCTGTACAAAAACAGAAGGTGCTGGAGTCAGAGATAACAGTGTGAAGCTGGAGGAACACAGCAGGCCAGGCAGCAGAGGAGGAAAGTTGACGTTTTGGGTCAGGACCCTTCTTCAGAGGGGGAAAGGAGCTCAGAAATAGAGAGGAGGGGTGCAGCTGGGGGAGGTAGGTGGGATGGTGATAGGGGAGTGCAGGTAGGGAGTGGTGGGGATTGGTCATTGAGGTGGGAGGGGCAGATAGGTGTGAGAGAAGATGGACAGGGATGAGGGGGAGGCTGGATGTGGGATGAGGCCATGGGTGGAGAGATTTTAAAACTGGTGAATTCCATATTTAGGCCATTGGACTGTAGGCTCCTGAGGCAGAATATGAGGTGCTTCCGTTCTGAGGAAGGGTCACTGGACCCGAAACATTAACTCTGATGTTTTTTCTTCACAGATGCTGCCAGACCCGCTGAGCTTTTCCAGCAACTTTTGTTTTTGTTCCTGATTTACAGCATCCGCAGTTCTTTCGGTTTTTATTCTGTCTAGATTACAGCAAAAAGAAAAACGAGTCTTACTTTAATGTCTGGAAATTGGCCGAGGTATGTATCCAGCGTCAGGAGAGCTTGATCCACCAGTTTCTGATGATAGTCAGTCCAGAGAAGATCACCATTCTGAAAGAAAACAAAAAGAAGTTTACGCAAATAAGAAATGCTTGTGAATCAAACTCAAGTTGAAACCTCCTGAAATACAAGTATGGACCACGAAGCCTATTCCACAATTCTTGACCAAAAACATAACTGACATGATTTTTTTTTGGTAACATTCATTCATGAGATGTGGGTGGTGCTGGTTTGACTAGAATTTATTGCCCATCCTTAAATGCTTTTGAACCCAATGGCTCGCTAAACCCTTTCAAATGACAGTCAACCACATTGCTGAGGGTCTGGGGTTACATATAGGCAAGACTAGGTAAGGATGTCAGATTTCCTTCTCTAAAATAAAATGACATTAGTGAACAGAGGGTCTTTTCGTAAAAAAAAACCCAAAAAACAGTCACACGGATGCCATTAGGCTAGCTTTTAATTTGGGGTTTCTATTGAATTCAAATTTTGCCACCTGCCATTGTGGCACTGTCCCAAAACATTAAAAATAAAACAAAGACCGGCAGATGTTGGAAATCAGAAAAGCAGAAATCGCTGGAGAAACTCAGCGGATCTGGCAGCCGAGAGGTCTACTTAGCTTTGAGTGATCACTGCCAAACGCAGGAAAACGACTGCCTCCAGTTGTAGACATCCTCCAGCCTAAGGATTCCAGCAGATTTATTGTAAATTTGATCAGATGGTCAGGAACTTAGAGGTCTGCTGGGCCATTTCTGAAGCTAGTAAAGAGTATCAATCAATTTGGAGTCACATATAGGCCAGTCACTGCAGGAGCAGGGTAATGATGGGGTTTGGGTGCGGCAGAGGGAAGAGAAATTCTTCTCTAAAAGGGATTAAACAAACCAGTTGAGATTTTCACAACAATTGTCTTCATTATGGCCAAAGATTAACCTTCCATTGTACACTATTAATCAAATTTGAATTCCACCATCTATTGTGGAAGGATTTGAACCTGTGTTCCCAGGATAAAATCCAGTGACACTGGCAGCACTACCTCTTAAAACACCTCAGCATCTATGCTGGAAAACCCTCGAAATTGTGTTTCCATGAGAATGCCTCATTTATTATTCAAACTCAAGAAAAAGAACTTTGCCAGTTGGTTACTCTGCCCAGTTGTAAAAGGTTGAGTCATAATACAGTAGAACCAGAAAGATTAAAATAACTAGACACAAGTAGTTATACAAAACAAATCTGCCTCTTTCTAGACGGATTCATGCCGGCTGCTATCACTTTGAAACAGACACTGCTTATTCATTAACATGTGTAAATGCTTAGTCTGTTACTTATTCTGACTATGATTGGGCCTCCTATGGACTGGGCTGAGAACAACCACAGCAAAGTCCAAGGTGGTTCCTTGACCTGTGGGGAAGTAAATGACATTGACACAAAGAAAAAATCTAACCTCTGAAATCGCATGAATTTCTTGTCTGCCGACCCAGTCTGGCTCATAAATTTCCTCCAAAACTTCCGACAGCTTCTTTGTGGCTTCGTGCATAGCTTTAGAACAAATTTAAATTTGTAGTCAGTTTTGTTCCAAGCAGTTGAAACATAAGATTAGAAACTGAAGCAGGCCAATTGGCCCTTTAATCTTGCTCCATCACTCTAAGATCATGGCTGAACTCTTCGCCCCCTGCAATATCACCTTCCCTCTAAGCACCTAGAAACGTGTCTTGATGTACGTATCTGTCTCTTTCTGAGCTACAGAATTCCTCAGAACGACAAAGTTGACTGGTTTTAAATAACACAAACTTTTCTCTGAGACCATGTTCAAGACTCCACAGTAAGTGGAAATATTGTCAGTCTACTCAGTCAACTCCTTTAAAAATACGTTCAGGAAATTACATCACTATTTCTGAATTGCAAGGTAATGCAAGTTTAACCTACTCAACTTGAGAATCTCAGGAATCCGTCTCCTGAATCTTAATTGCCTCAAAAGACAACTTTAGAGTCCAAAACTATACACAATAGTTCAGAGATAGTAGGAACTGCAGATGCTGGAGAATCTTCATTTTTCTGAAGTGTCTAGGCCCGAAACGTCAGCTTTCCTGCTCCTCTCATGCTGCTTGGCCTGCTGTGTTCATCCAGCTCGACACCTTGTTATCTCGCAATAGTTCAGGCACGATTTGGCCAAGGTTGCAAGACTTCTTCATATACCTACTTAATTCCTTTGCAACAAACCTCTTGTATCATTGTCTTTTTGCAATTTGTGTACAAGTATGTTGTGGTTCCTCAGAATGCCAACATTCTCAAGTCTGTCTCCAATCAGAAAATATTTTGCTTTTTTCAAATAACTTAATTATACATTACAGTGAAACCACTATATTTTTGCCCAAATGCTAAAGACCATCTTCCCTTCAGCTTACTTCCCTAGCTTAGATTCATTACATTGGAGCCATTGACAAATGGTTTGAGTTTCTCCCATTGACAAAGATACTTGCAGCATCCAACTTGGTAGTTAACGTCAAAACGGCCCATTCATGCCTACTGTCTGTCAAGCGCCAATCTATGCTACCGTTTAGTCTTAATACCACCAATCCTAATTTTTTTGTACTGAGTTAGTGTGGCACCTGTTCAAAAGCTTTCCGAAAATTCACATATACCATATCCACTGGTTTTCTCCTCTTATTCATCTGGTTTTTTTCTAGGATACAAGCATGATTTCTCAAAAACAATTTCTATCCCATAAATTTGTGATGACTGTCCATATGATTTCTTTTTCAAGTTTTATTTTCATTTAATGGCTACAACTCCTGTTCCTGTGCAGAGAATGTGCATAATTAGGGATATGCTATTGAACCAATTGCTTCCAGCTTTCCCATTTTTGCTTGACCTCCTCCTTTGAAGAGGACGACTTTGGTCACATTCATCCAGTTCACCAATTGTTCTAGAATCCATGGAATTCTGAAGTACAGGATAACATTTAGAGATGTATTGATTATTAATTTCATTAACTTGTCCAGTTATGTTTCTTTACCAATACTAAATTTCTTCCAGTCTTTAATTCCTGCCAGACCAGTAGCTCCCCACAAAGTGCATCGGCCTTCATGAAGAAAGACCAAGCATTCTAATTATCTGTCTTTCAATTAATCCCGTTTATAATTTATCCAACCTTTATCACTGAATGAACCAACACTTATTCTGGCTTTCTCAGGTAAGCACAAACACATTCAATAGTTTTATATCAGTTTGATGTGCTAAAGTACACATTCTCACATTACAACACTTATGTTTAAAAGATTATATTTTGATTTTGTAACTGTAGGCTTGAGGTAAATGAAAGGGGTCACGTGACTTGCTCTCAATTGTTACTGAGAGTTAGCCTGATTGATAGAAATTAAAAGGAAGGATTGGGTTGTTTTTCTGGGAAGAATGTGCAAACTTAGAGACAAAATACGTTGTAGCAAAGACAACTATCCACCAGTTTACATGTTTAGGCAGACTCTTAGTGTTCCAGAAAGGGGTTAAGGTCACTATCAATTACCCATTTATTTCTAAGATGAAAGGGAGTGGAAATCAAAGAAAGCTAATCAACATGTGTCTTGCTATACAAAAATAACCAAAGAACTGCAGATGGTGGAAATCAGAAACAAAAGTAGAAATTGCTGGAGAAACTCAGGGTCAGGTCTGACAGCATCTGTGGAGACAAAGAATGAACACTATGGCCCCAGTGACCCTCCTTCAGAACAGTTTTTCACTGGATGCAAAATGTTTCAACTCTAATTTGTCTACACAGTGCTGCCAGACCTGCTGAGTTTTTCCAACAATTTCTGCATTTGTGTCTAGCTACCATGGGGAAGGGGACAACAGAACCTATTCTGCGATCAAGTAACAGCTTCTCTACAAATCTATGGAATATCCACAGACTGAAAGAGGGTTTGCGTGGTCAGGAGAGGTCCACTTGGCTTTGAGTGATCACTGTCAAACGCAAGAAAAAGACTGCCTCCAGTTGTAGACATCCTCCAGCCTAAGGATTCCAGCAGACTTATTGTAAATTTGATCAGATGATCAGGAAGAAAACAACTTTGGCAAAAGGTGGACATTGAAACCCATTGAAAGTTAGGTGGACATTGGACTGATTTTATTTTAACAAACTGTTCCTTTAAAAGTAATTCCATTGAGAGAACATGTGCCCAGGACAGAGGGAAATGTTCCATTGTGGGGTTTGAAGTATATTTGAATAAAAAGCCTTTCGCTAAATTTTTCTAAGCTATTTGTTACACTGAAAATTTGAAAACCCAAAACATTTTTGCCACGTCATTCAGTAAACAACTGGAAATGAAAATCTTGGAAAAAGTTCAGGTCATTTACAGCAATAGCACCACTTGATATTTTGTCCCACCTTTGCAAAATTCTCAAATCTACCCAAGCCGAACACTTGCCAAGATAAAGCTCTCTCCTTGATCTATTACTGTTGCTGGTTTTTCTTTAGCAACAGTTGGACCACATTTCCTGCAGGCTTTTAATTTCTCAAAAGAAATGCATACGTTGCAAGCTGCAAATTAATTCAGATTCCATGGATGGGTATGTGCAATGAGTAGGAAATAGAGTAGAAGAAAAATATCTAATATTTTAAAGTGCCAAGCAACCTAGATGAGTGTGACAAACATTAAGCAGCACAAATGTCTGCTTTCCCACTTGCTCAACAATTCAACTGAACAATTTTTCTCCTAAAAACAGAAGTTAACTTCAAGTTTAAGATTCAAGGTGGTCAAAGTAGTATTGAAGCGTTTAAAATTACGAAAGGTGTTGATGTCAAAAGCTAAGGGATATTTAAACTAATGGCAGAATAGCTCTTTCAAAGGAAAGTACTTCAAGTTTGATGATTTGCAATGCATGAAAGGATGGCAGAAAAGTGGTATAAAAACATTTCAAGGAGGAATAGACCTGAAGGGGAAGGGTTGAAGAGATGGCTGGGGAGTATGATTAAAAATTTCAAAACCTGCGTCAGCATGATGTAGGGCATCTCCCATCTTGCACCATTCTCTAATTACAACATGCTTTATCTAGAGATCAAGTGAAAAATTCAGATCAGGCAATGACTGCAGCTGTGTCAAGCTTTAAAAAAAAATAAGATTGATGGATCCTGTATATCCATATTAAAAGGAAACGATGCCAGTGTTATTCACCTTTGGAATACATGGACAAGGACAAATATTCTGTGCATAATTCATTAGTTTTTTTTTAAATAACCAAGCTGCAGCATCATGCCAATCTAAAAACAGGAGCCAGTACAGCTTCCAATGAAGGTAGGCAAAAAATGGTATTGCCTACTGCAGGCGCAGCCAAATCAGGCTGTTTTTGCGCACAATGGTCTGATTTGTTTTTAACAACAAAGAAATCTTGTATCTACAGGAGGCTCCAAAACATACCGAGGTTAACACCCGCACACCCTTTGTAAAGGCCAACATAGAGAACATAGAACATAACAGCGCAGTACAGGCCCTTCGGCCCTCGATGTTGCGCCGACCTGTGAAACCAAGCTGAAGCCCATCTAACCTAAACTATTCCGTTATCATCCATATGTTTATCCAATGACCATTTAAATGCCCTTAAAGTGGGCGAGTCTACTACTTTTGCAGGCAGGGCATTCCACACCCTTACTACTCTGAGTAAAGAACCTACCTCTGACATCTGTCCTATA